AGGCCCAGAGGACAGCCGGGGAGCAGCGCTCTCTGCAGCATGTTCCCACCAAAGGCCTGAGGAGGAGGGAGCCAAGCACACAGAGGGCAAGGAGCCCAGCGTGGGGGGCACGGACTGCGGGCAGGAATGCGGGTACAACATGACGTCCCTGTCGGCCAACAGCCCCCAAGCACGGGCCACCTTCTGAACCACGGCCAAACGGCGGCCAGCTCAGCAGTGCTGACAGGGCCCCAGCAGGGGGAGGGGAGGCACCCGCCCAGCTCAGACCAAGTGCAGGGCGGAAGGCCACCAGAGAGGAAAGGCATCGAGGGCAGCTGCCAGCCATTCAGCGCAAACTCCTCTGCTACAACGTGGTGTGGGTTCAGCCAAGAGAAAGAGGTCAGAAACATTCTACTCCTTCTCTCGAGTTAATAAACAGTGTTCACGAAAAACTATACAGCTTGGGTCTGGTCTCTGCATCCGAGTCCAATACGTTCTGTTCTAGAAACTGTCTACTTAAGAAAAGAAGGGTCTCTCAACCAGAGGTTGATGCTAAGTGATGGCATTTCCCTCCAGGGCTGCAATTCTCCAGCACCCACGGAGCCCTGGCTGGACCTGGGTGAAGATGAAGAAAACGGTCTCAGGGTGGCTCATGTCCCTGAGGGGCTCTTGGGCAGAGGTAAGGCAGGGTAGCTGAGAGAGAGACAGGACTGGAGAGTGAGTGGGCACACACAGGGAGGGCCTGTGGCCCTAGGGCAGCTGGCAGGGCTCAGGACAGAAAACCCCCGGGCCCGGGATGCTGCAGCTGTGGGGGCGGGAGCACCTGAGCTGGGAAGGGAGGCTGGAAGCCTGAGAGGGCACACAGGGCCTCGAGTCCCAGCTGAAGAGCTGGGACCCTGAACTGTTGAAGCCAGACGTCTGGGCCAACATGGCCACCCAGCTTGGGAAATGTGATCAGTGTGAAGTGAAAATGCTGTGTGTGATACACACTGGGCTTCCAAGACTCGGTATGAAAAGAGGACGCGACAGACATCATTCTTTAGACTAACTGTGTGTTGCAATGGTAACACTGGCAATAAATCGGATAATTATTAAAATGGGTGTTTTCACCTCGTTAACGTACCAACTACTGGAAAGGGCACGCTGGCCCCTGTGATCAGCACGCCAATCCTCCTGGGCAGTGGCAGCGCAAACAGTAGTGAGAGGACACCACAGGACAGAGACAGGGTGGCAGGTGGGTGCAGGTGGGAGCACAGGTAGGAGGCTGTGGCAACTCGGCTGTGTCCGAGCCCTGGACACAGGAGGGACCAACAATCCATTTGACGGGGGAGTGGGGAGTGAAGGCTTTGAGCTTGGGTGACTGGAGCTGGTGG